GATGTGGTGTAGACTAGCTGCTAACTGCTCATAACTGATTCTATCTCTTTTAGACACAATTTCGGAAAGACTGAATTTGAAAATGAATAATGATCCACAAGAATTCACAACAAAATATGGAACCACCATTGACGCGGTATTTTCCAGATATTTAGAGGATATCAAGTCTCAAACTTACGTTTCTTATTTCAGTTACTATAAACTTAAAGTTTCAATAATAAAAATTCCTGAATAACCTACATGTATTGTAAGATAATAAAAATATTTTAAACAAAATTAACTTCTCATTTATTCAATAAAAGAAAAAAATTGTTTTCAAATCGGTCACCTCGCTCAAAAAGTGTAACTTGAAATAATATCAAAGAAAAAACTTGAATTAATATCAAAGAAAAAAAAAATACTGCATAAATAAATAATTATAATTGCATAAGTTGATAAAAAATGCTATGCAATAGCTTTACCGCGGCAGTACCTGAGTGCTATATGTATTTTTTAAAATTCTCTAGTAATCTCTGGCTTTATTCTGTACAATTTCTTGTTTTAATTAATTTTGACAGTATCAATTTGAAGTCGTTACTTATGTCAGCATTTGTTTATAAATTAAAGAAAAACAAAAAATATTGAAAATTCAACACCCTACAGACACCGTTACGTTAATTTTTTAGTAATTTAACCCTTTTCAGTACTCTACCTAACCTAGCAACGGTAAATATTCTGTGTTTTTCTACTTTAATTTGAAAAATTACTCACCCAAAACGGTTGGTATTGTATTTTGGTAGTCACAGATATAGTAGTGTCAAACAGAAACTTTTGATATTATTTATGAATATCAGCAAAACAAAATAATGTCTTAAAGTAATTTTGAAAATTTATGAAAATTCACAAGTATAACACTCTGTATCTCAAAAACGAGTCACAGGAGAACTTTGTGCCCATGAACACTTTGAATTAGGTCAAAAACTGCAACATATATATAATTCTGCTGATTCGACCGAAAGTCATTTGCCACAAGTAAACTGCGGGGTAGATTAACAAAGGACCTAATTTTGAACATTTAATTTAGTTTTACTGAAGGTAGTTTTCAGTCCTTTTTTTGGTTGTTACGCAAGAAGGAATTAAAATTGTAGAGGCATGAAATTTCGTTTTTAAAAAGTAGTTTTATAAGAATATTAAATAAACTACAGGATGACCTACTTTAAATTTGAAGGGTCATTTTATTTCCGATCAAATCGTATGTGAATTATCGATTTATCATTTGTTATTTTATACCTATTAGTTTAAAAACCAAGGAAAAAGTTCAATATGACCTATAAGCAAAAAATAACGATATTAAAGTTACGGGGGTTATTCAAAAACATTGTTGATAAAATTTTAAATTATAAAGCCTAACCGTTTTACTTTATAAAAAATTTATTCATAATTTATTATACATACAAGTGGCATGTTTACGGGATCAAAAAATTCGAATGGCTGAATTTCGGAGATACATGCAGATTTCTCTCTTATTGCGGCACCCAAAAATATTTACAGCATTCGACTGCGACACGTGCTGCAAATATATTGTAATGCGAGCCATTTCATTATTCAGTCATGCTCTATTCCTCCAAGTCCCTATCTGTCTTATTTGGCTTTTGAGGCTCAACTTGTCCGATTATCATACATAATTAAACCCCTTAAGACCAAAAATATGTGACGGATTTGGCGAAGGCGCTTTCGAGTACACTTCAGATTAAACGTGAGAATGTTTCTAGTTTTGGCGAGAGAACATTCTAGATCCTTCACCAAAATTTTAAATGTGTGTATAAATATTGGTGCAGGAACACGGTGCATTCAGTCGTATACAAACAGTTGTGAAAATAAATAGTGAACACTTTAAAGACATTCGAAATATACAGTATGTCCCCCTAAGTTGGAATCATATGGAAAACTTTTTTATTATTAATTTTAGGAAAAAAAGTTATTCCTCATAAAAAGTTCTGCATTATCTAAAACCTAGAATACAGTCATCAAATATCAAATTTTTTCAGTGGTATACGAGGTTTGTCAAAAAATATGAGTTTTACTCAAGAGTAAGTACCTTTATTCTTTATACGACTGATAACATTTGATATCTGATGGTTGTATTTTAAGTTTTAGACCATGCTCGACTTTTTATAAAGAATAACTTTTTTCCCAGTATTAATAATAAAAAAGATTTTCATATGCCGCCAATTTACGTAGATAGTTGGTGGCATAGGAAAGCTTTTTTATTACTAATTTTAGGAAAAAAAGTTATTCTTTATAAAAAGTCGAGCTGGTCTAAAACCTAAAATACAACCATCAAATATCAAATTTTATCAGTTGTATAAAAAATAAAGGTACTTTACTCTTGAGTAAAACTCATATTTTTTGACAAACCTCGTATACCACTGAAAAAATTTTATATTTGATGAATGTATTCTAGGTTTTAGATAATTCAGAACGTTTTATGAAGAATAACTTTTTTTCCTAAAATTAATAATAAAAAAGTTTTGCATATGATTCCAACTTAGAGGGACATACTGTATATAAATTAGAATAGTATTGTTTTAAAATAAATAAGTGTTCAAATAAATTATTAACAAATAAACTTGTTTAAAATAAACAAACGTAACAATAATATTCGTAGGCAATGCTCCTTACACAATATGTATACTTTGGCATTTTATTGTAGTTTCTTGTGTACATTGAATTACATCCAAATGCCTATTGTGGTAGTAGCCCAAGGAGTAGTTGTTTCCCGGAGAGAAACATTAGCTCGTAAAGAAAATTGAGTTTATAATTAATTTTATTACCAAATCTTATGTTACAGTCATAGAAACAAATAAAACTGCACGTTAATATTTTTAACGTAATAACTTGTTAAAAAGAAATGACTTCCATTTTAAAACTAACCTAAAATAAAGAGATTTTTCACCTGTATAACAATGTTTCATAAAAGTCGTAACATGTATAACCAAATTATTACCTAGTGTTAAATAGACGGATAAAAAGTGTTGACTTTTATTAACAACTATAATAAGAACCTATTAAAAAGATTTAGATCAATAGAACATATTTTAACAAATTTATATAGGTACATACATATTTTTGATACCTGATTATCAATAAAGAATATATTTTTTGGTGTATCGACAGGTTCATTAATATACAACTACTATTTTGTTACAAGTATTAATAATTAACATAATAGTTGATATAAGTCCTTTAAATAATATATTTTGATTTAATTGCTGAATTCATACATGATCAATTTTCCTTGTAGCGTTGTTTACATTTTGCAGAGAAGTATTGTGTTGTATAGCTGGGATTCCAAAAAAAAATTTTTTATCACTTCTACTCTTACAATTTACAACCAGTCAAGTAACTGGCATGTTGGAAATACTTCACGAAAACATATTAAACATAAATCAGTCGAATGCAATGTATTTTCTTTTTATAACACACCTTTTTCGCTTGATTACTTCTAGGACTCTATTTATTCCAATGTCCTCAAATAAAAACAGCAATAACACGTAACAATAAGGATAAAATACACTAAAGTGAATTTGTGGTATTTTTGATCTAAATCCACTATCAAATTAACAAATTTTCCATTTTTAATCTGTGAATGTATTGCAAAAACGACTTCGATAAAATGTAAACAGAAGTTTGTAGTTTGTGTACGAAATATGGGTTGTCTACGCATAGTAGCGAGTTTTTAACCGGATTTATGACAAGTGATAGATTATATCCCGAAAACGACAGCGCAGTAAAGGTTGCGCGTCTTTTTCCCGCCCAGCTAGTGTCAATACTGCTAGAATACTTATACTGTATCACCAATATAACAAGTTGATTACTTAAAAATTCCTATAAAATGGACATCGTCGGTTTTTTCTCCTTACCCTTCATTTGTAACGCATGTCTTTGAGATTGTATTATTTTTTTATTTCACAACTTTCTCACATTTGACTTTGGAATTTTTTTCATTTGGTGTCATCGGCATCAATTACTAAGGTTATTAGCCTCGTGTTCTATATATACGTTTTACTTTTCTAGCGCCACTTTAGGAACAGCGCTGTTAATTAGAACCCAACAGTAAATGGTCAAGTAGGGAGGATATCCTATTTTTCTTTTTATTTAGCTATATTTTTCAAAACTATTCTATTTTAACTTTAAAGCTCGCTTTACATCTAACAATTTATTAAAGACAGTGATGAATATACTCATGATTTCTTGAGGATAAATAAATGTGGAGTAAAGTTTTTTCCCCGGATGGACTGAAAAAGAAGAGGAAAACCTTTTCTATTTTCACGTTTTCGAAAAAATATTATTCTTCATAAAAGTTTTTGCTTGTTTACAAACTAATAATAATCCAAACAGAAGTTGAATATCTCTTTGCTTTAGTGAAATACTGACAAAAATTTAAAAAATCAGTCCATCTCGATATATCAGTCGTTGTGTAGAACCATCGAGATAGAATAAAGTAGAGACGTCACAAACACTATTTTGCGATATTACATATGGACACACTTCAAGTAACGGAAAAAGGCATCGAAAATGGCGATTTGAGTAGTACTTTGATTTATTTGAAGTCAGTGATTTTATATTTAAAGATTGATGGAGTTGTCTAAAAAAAATGGCATTTATTCTCACCAAAACTGACTAGATCCAGTACTTGAGTTTGACATATGACGTAAAAGAGTAGGTAATGTAAAGGTGCGGAACCTTTGGCATTGTCATAGCATCTCCTTTTTATTCTATATCAATGTGTAGAACAATAAGCGGAAAATCAGGTCGGAATTTAAACATTTTTACTCTGGTTATGTAAATGTGATCATTTGAATTAAAAAAATATATATAATTTTTAGGCCAAAAAATAAATTTTTATAAATTATTATGTAACATAAATTGTACTCTGGTAATGAGCCTAGGGCTGAAAGTAATTGCCATTTATAATATGATGTATAATATAAAATTTAAGTATTTTAATTTTTTTTTAGGATTCTGGCGTTGGGACTCCGGTGACATTGAGGGTAGATCCTCATGGATTTTACCTCTACTGGGTCGACCAAAACCACGAAATGGATCTACTCGACATTGCCATCATCCGTGATACCCGAACTGGTCGATATGCTAAAATACCAAAGGTAATATAACGTTTAAATATATCCCATAAATCATGTTTGTCGAACAATTTTCCGAAATCTTAGTACCTAGTAGTGGTGCTAGTGTTTTCATCTGTCAAACTTCGTAAAATTTGACATTTTCATCTTATATAATTTAGCATTTTATAAAAGTAATTTAAATTTTGTGATAAGGTGGAAATTGTCGTGCCATAATGTTGTAATATTGTGAATGTAGTCTAACGCCAAAATGGTGTCTCAATCGAGTTAATTTGGCGTGTGGGGAAAAATAAATTTAAAAAAATCATGAAAAAAGAATGTGAAACCCAAAATTAAGAATCACTGAATTTTATCATTCTGGGATCTTTTTAAATTTTTTTGTCAAAAAATGTACATGTTCAACATTATTATAAAGTACAGATCGACAGGAATAACAAAAACCGCTATCTGCACCAAGATATGATACGACGACAAAGAGAAGGATTCATGCTGCGTTTCCAAATTTATTAGTATTATCTAGTTCTGCTTACGAAAAATTTTGAAATATTAAAATAAATACACAATTAATGATTTTATATTATATTTATGATCGGTATACTAACCAATTTAAGTTGAAATGTTAGACGTGACGCAGTAAAATCCTTATTAGGTTTAAATTTTTGGTGGTCAAGTCTGGTTAAAGATTAATAGGTAAGTATGACCTAATAAAGTATTTAAATTATAAACCAACAATTATATTAAATAGTTATTATAGAAAGTGTCTTTTTAATAGTGGAAACTGAAACGAGTGGTTTTAAAGTGTATATTTATAATTGCATGTTTTTCAAATAAAATCGTACCTTGCTACTGTTCTTACTCTCAAAATCTGATCGGAAATCTTTGCCTAAATTAGCAGTGATTTTTTACGGCATTTATTTTGTTAATTTCAATTTAAAATTAAACTTTTTATGTACTTAAATTTACCAAAAAACGGACGTACTTCATTTACTATCGTTTTACTACTTATACAACTTGACAGCGTCTTAAAATGTACAACTTCGACTATAATGCTTTAAGATCCAAGTGATCACCTCAAACAACCAGAACGATCTGAGTTTACCACTCTCACTCCTAGTAATTGCGTATGTGGCCCAAGGGCGGCTCCAAGCTGAATTTACAAAGGGGGGCATTGCCATTATCCCTTCTAGCTAGTCCTACACTCAAATTGAAGTTGTAAAATCGTGAGTTATATGGTAGTGTTATTTGTATTTTTGAATAAATTGTGGAACCTTAAAAAAATAGTCCGTAAATTTTAAAACACTATAAAATCAAAGCTCATTTTTAATTTCCTTATATTTTCTGGTAATGTATTTCATATTTTCGGTTTAATTAACAAACACGATAGTATGGTGCTATTTGTAACAAAATGAATTCTGTAGAGGACTTAGTATCACAAGCTCAACTGTTAATTTATTGAAAACTAATATTTTGAAGATTCTAAAACCGGAGGCAATTCAAAATTAGACTGCAGAATGGCAATATTTTTAATATGACCACAAAATCCAAAAAAATCCTTTTACCAGTTACGTAAGTGTATTATTTTAAACATTTATAAAACCATTGGGGCTTAAGACCTAAAAAAACTAAAACTGCTATTTTCTCAGTTTTATCTTAGCAAAAAATTGTGAAAAATGTACTTTTTATGTTTACACTACGAAATTAGCTAAACAAGCTTTTAAAACAAAAAAGTTACTCTTTATAAAGGTTTTTAAAATGTGTATAGATCATTACAAAAGATCATCCATATTTTTATGTCTTATAATGATCAACAAGGTAATTAATGTAAAACAAATTTAAATTTAAAACCGGAGATGCCTAATTGAGTCCCAGAATTTATAATCCGTCTTAGTGATTGCCGAGTTGAGTCTCCGGAGATGGATAAATGGAGTCCTGGGCCTACCTGAGCTTGCAAGGTTAGTAGGGGTTCGTAATCTGTTTCTAGAATATTAAAACTAAAATTCATTTTATAACACATATTTTTATGCAATTTACAATTATTTACAACATAAAATATTTACAATAACATACCTACCTATAATAACATGCTAAATATTCATTTATTTAATTATTTTAAATTTCTTGCCTACAATTTTGAGAAATTCAAATTTGGACAATTAGTTACATACAATTTAATTTTAAATCTAGAAATTTTTTATTTTTTAAAGTTTGTGAAGAATAACATTTGGAAATCTATTAAAACGGTTAAAAATTGAAATATATGTGGATCTGCATAATAAAATGATGAGTTAAACCTTGCATGAAAGCTCTCGTATGCATTCGTCGTCCGTTACATACTGCTCGTCTTCTCCGCCCATATTTCTGGTGGAAACCTAGCCGATTCTAATATATAATTATCGACCAAATAGTTCGCAAATTACACTTCTCTGGGATTCTGTGGTTGTATTGAAGATAAATCTGCAACAAAACAATCTCCTACATCTTCTGGATGGACAAATGGCATTACAAGGCAGTACGTTAAATATTTACCCACATCGCTGTCTTTGTCCTTGTATAAGGATGATAAGACTAGTGCTTGAATTTTGTGCCACCTGGAAAAAAGAAAAAATTCCCATTGAAATTGCAATTTTTTTTTGGATATTTTATGTTGGAATTTAAATTCCCCAAATGAAGCCACTTTGCAAAAATGTTGTAATTATAGAAGCTTTGTATAACTTTTTTTGCTTTTCTTGTTTATAAGAATTTTTGAAAAACAAGACATTGCTTAGTGTGGTATATGTGGATTTTTTTATTTATTTTATCTAACATTTGCAAAATATTTAATGTCAAATATAAGTACTTACCAAGACTGTCCCAAATGGAATCGCCAGCCCTTCATTGAAACATCACTCCAAACCTGCTCAGTGACACTTTGCTGAATTGCTTCTTCAAAATCAGCAAATACTGTTCGTAAAGTATTTTATTGCATTTGCCAATTTCTTTAACCAGATGTTTTAGTGCCAGTGTGTATGTATTTTTTCGTTTATTTTTCTATACATTTTCTTCAGATGACCCTTTTTGAGAGTTCTTAACTTGAGTTTTGATCGATTTTTTTAACTTTTGGTCTCTTCACTTGTCTTCATTTAAAGAATATTCTGATTTATTTTCAAAAATTGTATTTAAAAACTAATATAAAGCACAACTAATTGACGTTGTTTATGACAATTACACAGAAAATTCGATTAAAGATATTAATCGTCAAAAAAGAGGATCTTCCAACACAATTAATATAAGACATCCCGTTTCCACAACAATGGAATTTATTTATTTACTGAATCTTTAATAAAAAACCGTTATACAACTTTTTATCTAACTTTCTGCTTACGGATTCCATGATTCTAGATACAATTTGAACGAGCGAGGGATTTAATAGCATTACAGACTTTAAATCCAATATTGACATTTGTGGAGAAATCCGAGGAGTATTAAAATCAAACAATGAAGAAGCTGACATTAGAATTCTACTTCATGTACTCTCGGCTAAAATTGAAAGTTTTTCTACATGCGTTGTTGACTCTGATGATATATATGTGCTTATTATTTTGGTGTATTTTAAAAACCTTCATAACGAAATTTGGTTAAAAGCCGGAATGATAAATTTTACTCGTTACGTGGCAGTTCATAAAATAGCCCTTAACGACAGTCTAACGAGAAACCTACCTCCTTTCCATACTTTAACAGGATGTGATACGAGTCGATTTGCTGGAATGAGAAAAAGACCTGTTTGAAAACATTCCTCCAACGTTCCGTAAATTTAAATTAATTTGGATCAGTTCGTTTTTCCGAGGGTCTGTTTGATAATATTAAAAAATTTCTAATAAAATTATATCACGTCCGATGTTTTTTCTCTTAATGTGATTTAATGGCTTATTCAACTGACTAGGCTACCTCCAACAGACGATTCTCTATGCTTCCATGTCTTAAGACCTTTTATCAAACCAAGATTTGGTTCAACTCTTTATTCGAATTACATTTAAACACTTACGCAAAAAAGTAAAATAATTAAATCACCATCAATCATCTATATAAAATTGATTAGACACGTTCAATAGATTCATAAAGTGCACTTTCAAAAAAAAACACCCATCTTTAGCAATAAAAATGTAATCCCATCTTTAGACTTTGATTAACTACCAGCCCTCTACCTGCCAAATAAAAAAAAAGCCATGGCATCATTCTTCTACGAATATAAATAATATAAAGCGAGTCTCTGCATCTCAGTCCTTCGTTGACAAAGTTTTGATCTGTCTTCATGTAACATCTATGTAAAAGTTATAAGTGTAAAGTGTATCACATAATGTTAATAAAAACTAACATTAAAGCCGGAGGTTAAGATTCCAGCTGCTCCAGGCAGGTACAAAAAAACCTGCCCATTTGAGCTAGAGGGACGATGAGAACCTGAGGTAAGGTCTTTATCGTACCACTCTTTATAACCAAAAATGGAATTGCTATCAAAGCCAGTTTTTAAAGAAGGCAGCGAAGACTCTGAAGACGAGGAGAAAATTTAATACTATTATTACACAAGAGTGTAGTTTTTCTAATAAAAAAATGTGAATATTCATGCTCTTTAATATTTAATAATTATTAAAGTTGAGGAAGGGCTCTTTTAGTTAGACAATAATTTACTGTTCTAATTTTACTCGTGGCACATTAATATTTTCAATATTTAATATTTATTATTACTAATAATATATTATTAGTCCAATTAAATAACGAAAAAAAGCCCCTTCGAGCTTACATTAATTTGTAATTGGATGAAACAAAGTGGAATTTGTGAATTTTGATGTGATGTTTCCGAAAAAAAGAAAAAAATGATGTAGCTGTTTTTCAATTTTTTTTTAAATTAGGAAAACCGGATTTTCCGGAATTTTCCATGGTAAAAATGCTAATTATCTGGGCAATTATCATTCTGATAGTAAAAATAAATGCACCAATCGAAAGAGGAGGCAAAAATAGTTCGGAATTTCATTGCACAGGTAGTTTTAATG